GTTGGGGCTGATGGGAATTGTACTGCAACGCATTTGTCGGGTACCATGCTGTGGAAGGCTGTGGACACAGTTCCTGCGAAGTAAACCCCAGTGAAATGCGTTTTCCTTCTCAGTAAGAGCTCTGGCATGTTGCCTGAAGAGCCGCTTCTAGCATTGCTGGTTGCAAATCGAGGACCACTTGGTGAGTCACAGGAACATTGGAAGCTGTCTTCTCCCAGGCCAGGTCCTTGGTCCATCAGTTAGGACTGACTGGCAATAGCTCAGACAGATGTTTTGTCCTGCCCCACTGGAAGATGCTGTGGGTCAAACCAGCACCAGTGGGCCATGGCAGTTTGGGCCTTGCGGGCGGTCTCTGCACTCAGGGCCTCACTGCCCGTGAGGCAGGAGCGGTGAATTTTGCCATGCCAGATGGGAGGGCCCGGTGTTGCTCTTGGACCCCCTCCTGAAGATCCCTGCCCACTTTCTCACCGTGGCATTGCTTATAAGGAGCATTTGAGGCGCCCTCCGGCCATCTTCTTTATCCCTGCCATGCTCTCCACCGGTCCTGTGTGGCAGTGGCAAAAGAAAGGCTCCTGTCTGTGTGATCGTGGAGCAGTGGTGGCGATGCATCTCCCCCCCCCCCCCCTTCAGGGAGGGACACAGTGCTTCGTGGCTGCCTGAAATGCAAGGCCTGGATGCTGGCCAGTGTGTTAAGGGTGGCAACTGACTTCCGGCCATGTTTGCTGCTGGCCAAAACAGTTGTGTAGGGCCACAAGTTGCCAACCCTTGCCGGAGCTTTTGGTTTGTCCCCGCTCTCCTTCTGGATGTGTGTGAAATCCTGAGCCATCTTAGACAAGGCACCCTTGGTATGAAGGCTACTGTACCCCAGAACCCACAGTCTGGGGGCCCCAACACCAGAGCCAAGACCATCTCCATCACCACCTGTGAGCTCTCAGAGGAGCACTGTTGAGAAACGGGGTGGAGGATCCACCAAGAGATTCCCTACTTTTCCCCACAGCCCAAAGCACTGTGCATCTCTCCAGACTAGTAGTTCAAGCGACAGGAAGTCTGGGGAGGAGGTGGTGGGGTGAGAGAGAAAGCGTTTCCCTATAGATCACTGTCTCCTCCCCAGTACTCAAGTCTACTCTGATACTGAATCAAGTACTCCAGTGGGCAGGTCTCCTTCGGGCATGACAGATCAGCATCAATAATGGTATTGGGAACTCAGCAACCCTATTTATTCTTAACCAGCCTGATCTTGCCGAACCTTGGAAGTTAAGTAGGGTCGGGCCTGGTTGAAATCTGGATGGGTGACTTAAAATGTCGTGAACCTCCCAGAGCGCTTTGGCTACAGGCTGTATAGAAATGTAATAATAATACAAATACCGGTGATAATAATAATAATAGCAGCATTACATTATTAAATTAATACAACCTGTACACCACGCTGCAACATTTTGTTGCAGGTCCCACTTGTGCAAAAATACTCAGGATCAAAATGTATCTGACACAAGACCTTTGTTTTAACTTTAAAACCAATGCAGAAGGCTCTCGGGATCTGCACTGTTTGCTTCAAACATATTTTACACCTTTTTCAACCTCTGGCCCTTTCCATTTCTCCTTAAAACAATCACTGCCCACCCCAACTGCAAATTTTCTTTCTGTTCAGAAAAGGGTCTGGCACAATTAAGATTTGGACGGTTTCCTTCTTTAGAGCTACATTAAACTGCCTTCTTGTCTTCCACACACATGCCCCACCTCACCCCGCCTTGAAATACATCTCTGAAGGAAAAACTGGAAAGTGTTTAAACAAAACTGCCTAGGATTCTTTGCTCCGCTTAAATGGCCTTGGAACCAGCCATAGCTATGGTTATGTTACACCTCCTTTTAGTGAAGGCAGGTAAACACCTGCAGTGAACAGAAACTCAACTGTATTTGTTGTGGCTTTAAACTTTACGAACGCTCTTGACTAACGGGGTGGGGGAACCTTTGTGGCTCTCAGAAAGTGATATTTGTTCATTCGAATCTGCTCTCGCGAATCAAAGGCATTTTGGTTTAAAAAAAATAAGGAAAGGGTGTTTTGTTGTGATTTTTTTCCTTTGAGTATGGATACCTGACATTTCTGCAGGATGTGTATGAATTATATACTTCAGTCATATGATATCCAGTGTTCTTGTGGTTCAGACAATAACAATAAGACCTGATTGGGCTATATTGATTGATTGGACTTCTGCACTGCCCATTAGCCAAGACGGCTCTCCGGGTGGTTTACAAAAACATAGTATCAACATCTACAATAATACTAAATTTAGCATACATTCTAAAGAATAAAATAACAATAACACACAATAAAACCCTGCAATAAAAACCCCACAGTAGCCATGCTTCAGATTAATCCACTCTTCTTGATTAAGCATAGGTACTTTGCAGTGCAATCCAGCACAGCTTTATTCAGAAGAAATCCCTTTTCTGTAAACTTTAGGCGGTACATTCACCAGTTGAGTTTAAATCAATTAACAGGGTGGCCCTATCTGCATGCTTATGCAAAATTAAGTCCCACTAAGTTGAATGTCATTTACTCCTCCAGTTACCTGTTCTGAAGAGTGTAGTCAACATCTGCATCATTTGCATATGGCTAAAACAACCCTTCTGAGGAAGAAAAATATTTACTCTGCATTTAGATGAAACATGGTCATCTGACTCTACCCTGGAAGAGGCATTCTATCCTGTGTCCATGTCTCTTCTGAGGTGGTGCAGTCCCCTTAGAAGTTTTTAGACATGCACATCTTGAACAATAATTAACATTTTTAAGTGTTCCACAGTTAATCGGTGATGCTTTTTCAGTTGAATAAAAGGCGTTTCAATTAATCTGACCAGTTAATCAATTAAAGATTGCAACCCTGTTCGTAGCTTCCCCAGTCTCGGATGCAGTTCGGCAGAGCCACAGGATTTTTCTTCCAAAGCAATCTGCTCTTGAGGGTTTTAAGACGCAAAAGAGGTATAAGGAGTACTCAAAAGCAACAGTTCTTGGTAACTCTGTAATGCACTCTGTGCTCTCCCCACACATAATGGATACCTCCAGTCAACTTCAGTTAAGGGACAGGCACAAACCACAGAAAGGGCACCAATTCACTTGAGGCAGGTCTCCCCTTGAAGTGATCAAAAGTAATGCTGAGAAGGAGGAGTAATCGCTGTAGTATTTCTCTACTGCCCAATAGGTGAAGCTTTTGAGCACTGAACAATAATGGGGGTGATGGTGGTACTTTCTCCCCAGAAATATTTCAAAGCACCCCCAGTCAAATTAAAAATTAAGGCATGATACAACCAAAGGGAAGCACCTTGGTTCTGAGGAAATGTGCCTTGGCTTTTGTGCAGACTCATTTTGCCAGTTTCAGTGTGGGAGGGTTAAGCGCATGTGTGGAGCTGCGGTTCGCAACACATTCACCTGGAAGCAAGACTTAGTGCAGACAATGGGACTTACTCTCTAGTAAACATGCATTAGATTCTAGCTGCGCAGTGCAATCCCCTAAACATCTTCCCAGAAGGAAGTCCCAGTGAGCTCTGTGGAAATTGGCTCTAAGTAAACAAGCAAAATTCAGCATTAACTTTGTTCATTTGTTTAACCCAAAAGGAAAAGCCTGACTATATTTTAGTAAGTTAAAATAAAAAGCTGCTTTTGTGCTTTGTTGCAAAGCACTATTTCTGATGCTGCTTTCTTTCTTTTTCAATTGAGATATATTTTTCTACACTTTGACAGAAGTGTATAGAAGGAAAGTTACTTCATACATTTTTTTGCAAATTGCAATTTAAAAAGAAAAGAGCAAGTACAATTACACTAAAGATCATTGCAACTTACTTCCCAGTAACAGATTTTAGGATTGTAACCCAAATCCACAAAAACAACTTGTACTAATTTTTTTCCAAGCGTATGATCATAATCTGATGAAGTAATCTTTTGAGAACATACTCAGATCCGAAACTTTATACATCTTAAATGTGTACAGTTCGGTTTGTGCCATTCCTTTCAAAGTCGATCTTAAGACACAAAAGAACATCTGGAAACTGGACCGGGGAAAATTAAATAACGATTTAAAAGCAAAAAGCTGTCTCAATGGCTTAGCTCTGCCTAATGAAACTTGGACGCCAAATTTTCATGGGTGGCTCTAGAAAGTGAAATTGACCAACTCTCGAAAACTGTCAGCGCCTGCTCAAGGAAATGGTTTCCCCCGCACCTTTTTGGATCTTTTTAATGCGGTTTTTTTTTGTTTTTTTGTTTGTTTTTTAAAGCGGGGAGGTGGGGGATCCATTCACCATGCAGACCTCGGTTTCGTTTTTTCCCCCTTGAAAACAAACCTTCAGATTACGAAGACGGAGGGAATTCTAATCGACTTAATTCTGCTTCTTGCTTTCCAGGTTAACCTCCCTTCCCTCACGCAGACGAAAAGATCAGAAAGGAGGGAATCGCATGTCTCCCTTTCGGCCCCCCCGCTCCTCCCCTCCTCCTCCTCCTCCGCCCCCCCCCGCCAACCTTTATCTGCCCCTCGCTGCCTAAACAGGTTCAAAGTACAGCGAAGAAGGCGCAAAGCGCTTTTGCGATCTCCAGCTTATTAGAAGAGATGCCCGGAGCGGAGTAGTCCCTTCCTCGCCACGCCAGCCGGACGGAGAATCGCAGCTTCGCTCTCCCTCTCCCCTCCAGCCCACTATCCCCCCCCATGGATCCTTGCCCGTCATTTGCATCTTGCAAGAATGCCCCTGCCGGCCCACTTCATTTGCATATCTTATATTGCCTAATGGAGACCATCAAACTAGAGTAGTGCCCCGCCGAAGCATCCTCTGGGGAGCGCGTCCTGCAGGGTCCCGGGGCCGAACAGGTGCCGCCCGGAGTCGGCGGGGGGGGCGCTGCTCACGAGTCCGGGGGGGAGGATTTCCGAAGGGCGATTTTTTGGGGGGCACCTCTCCTCTCCTCTCTCGCCCCCTTCCCTCTCCTTTCCCCCCACCCCGCCCCCTCCTCCTGATTTAAAATGGTGTCCAAACTGAGCGGCTTGCAACAAGAGCTCCTCGACGCGCTGCTGCTCTCGGGGGTGACCAAGGAGGTCCTGATCCAAGCGCTGGAGGAGCTGATGCCCGCTTCCAGCAGCAGCAGCAGCAGCGCCGCGGCCGGCGGCGGCGGCGGCGGCGGCGGCGGCTACGGGGTGAAGCTGGAGAACCTGCAGCTGTCCCCCGGCGGCGGCGGCGGCGGCGGCGGCGCGGGGCTGGAGGCGGACAGCAAGCCGGTCTTCCACACGCTCACCAACGGGCACGGCAAATGCAAGCTGTCGGGGGACGAGGGCTCGGACGACGGGGACGACTTCGACACCCCGCAGATCATCCGGGAGCTGCAGGCGCTCAACACCGAGGAGGCGGCGGAGCAAAGGGCCGAGGTGGCGCGCATGATCAGGTGGGCGCGGGCGCGGGCGCGGGGGGCTCTTCGCCGCGCCCCTGGGGAGGCTCTCGGGCGCCCCGAACTTTTTTTGCGGTGGGGGCGTATCCCTGATGTCGCGTTTTCCGCCGAGATAATAGGGGCGCAGCACGACTTGGTCGGTCATCCCGTTTGCCCAACGTTTCGTGGCTTTTATATTGTGCAAAACTGAGTCTCAAGTTTGAGCGTGCAATTGGGAGCAATTGTCAATTCTTTTAAAAGGAGAGGTTTAAATTACCAGCTGCCTGCCTGCCTGCCTTCCTCCTTTCCTCCCACCCGATTGACAAGAATGGAATCGATTAAATTCGTTCCTCAAATCAGATGTTTTTTTTAATATGGGCAACTCAGTTCTGTGTGTAAGGCGAATGTGGAGCCATTTCATGGATTCTTTGGATCTTGCTTGTAAGTGCAATTTTATGCGGTATTGACTCAGAAATAATTCTCATGGTATTGAAGGGGGTTAGTTCTGCGAAGCATGTTTTCAGGGCTGCAACCCCCAGAGATGGAAAACGCCTCTCTGTGTCGTCTCTCTAACATACAGGTGAAGGTTGAAAAATGGGATCCCCGTCCCCTAAGAAAACGGGATCCCCCTCCCCTATTACCACGATGGCAAGATAATATTCTAATTTATTTACAGGACTGAAAATGGGATGACAGGGGAGTTCTTTCCTTTCAAAGGAGATTACCTGTATAAGATTTAGGAGGGAAAAAAATGGTCAGATTTAATAAGAAGCTTGCAATTCTGTATGCACATACCTGGGAGTTGAGACATTTCTGAGTAAAGGCATAAAATTGCCTTTCGGAATCCTTTCATGAATGGTCAAAAGTGGATTCAAACAGTTTTGGTTTGCTTGAAATTGGTTTGTTTCCAAAGCCCCTTCTTGACTTTCTGTAGATACTCTTTTCCTTTCCCTTCAAAATCTTACTAAAATCATCCAAAAAGAGGCAAAAAAGTGTGAGCGGGAAGGAAGAACGAAGTGAAGGGCACAAATATGGGGAGAAATAATTTGGGCATGAGAGAGCAATAAAGTGGGAAATACTTATTCAGATGTGATTATTCAAATTTTCCTCCATAATGTAAATAATAGGATACTGTCTTTATTACATGTACAAAAGCAAGCATTTAATATCATTTATTATAGCTGATCGTCTCAAATTTGGTGGGTTAGGGAATTCATGACTGGCCAAAAATGTGGGCAGAAAAACAGATGGTTTCCAAGTAGATTTAGGGGTTACCTGAAATCTGGCACACATCCCCCCCCCCCTGCCAAATAATTCAGAAGCAAAACACAGGCTGGATATGGGCAACCAGACTGAGGTGACCTTATCCATACACTTCTGCCCCTTCAGGCATTTGTAAAGTCTGTGTGTCAAGAAACTTGCCACATTTTGAGAATAAACTGATAGTTTGGAATGCTCTAGTCTGCATATTCAGGGATGAATAAGCAACTCCACAGAGTATTTTTCTTCCCATTTCCTCTTTTATTATATATGGTTGGAGTGGGATGTGGCCTGGGATGTGAGCTCTTGGTTCAAGTCCTCCCTCAGCCACGAAGTTCACAAGGTGATTTTGTGCCAGTCGCAGACTCTCAACTTAACCTACCTTGCAAGGTTGTTGTGAGGATAAAATGGAGAGGAAGGGAATGATGGGAGGTGACTTGGGTTCCTTGCAAGAAGAAGAAAGGTGCAATATAAGTGTAATACTATTAATAATAGGTCTTTTTGCATAGGGGTTTGTTTTAAAGGCAGAATTGCAGAGTGGCTAGAGTGTTGGACAGGGACTCAGGATTCCAGGGGTCTAGTCTCCAGTCAGCCTTGAAACTCACTGACTAACTTTGGGCCTGTCCCTGATTCTCAGCCCAGTCTACCTCACAGGGTTGTTGTGAGGATAAAATGGAGAGGAGCAGGAGGAGGATGTCAGTTGCCTTAGGTTCTTTTGCGAAAGGGAAAAAGGCAAGATAAAAAAATATAAATAAATACTCTAATGAGATCCTGAACTCCATCATCCAGCAAGAAATCATGGGTCATTTTCTTTTTTAAAAGAAATGTTAACATTTAAAAAAAAATGTTAAGCCATCTACCAGTCTCTGGAGTTAGACTTGAGTTTGAAGAAAAAGGAACCTGGTAGTAATGGTCTTCCTATCAAGATTTTTCTTTTCTTTTCTTTTCCTTCCCTTCCTAAACCATTTTTCTAATAAGAAACTTGGTCTCTTTCAGCTTTTTCTTCCTGGCTTGGAAGCACTATTTGTTAATTTTATCCATATCTATATATCTATATATCTAAGTGTCTTCCGACTGAGCGACTTTGACAAGTTGGTTACTAATTATCCTTCATAGTTTACGGGCTCTTTTTTTTCCTTTAGCAAAATATCAACTAAATAAACTCTGCTATTTATTAACTTACCCCTCAATTTAAAGAGGAGCTGGGAATTTATTCCTGGTTTAGCTCGATTTTGGAGCTCAGCCTAAGGGAGCCAACAGATCGAAATGGCTTTCAGTCGAAAGGTAACTTTTTCAACGTATATGTACAGGTGTATATATATTATACATATAGAATCCTGGAACGATTCTAATAACGGGATGTAGCTGATTAGTAAGAACTGGTGACTGAGGAGTGAAAGACAAACCTGAAGTCTCTTGGCTTCTTTCTCTCTTTTAAAAATCCAGCCCTTAATTGGAAAGTGCTGAGAGTTTGTCTGGTGATTTTTGGTTTTGGTAGGTAGGTGGGTAGGTAAGTAGGTAGGTAAGTAGGTTCTTTCTTTCTTTCTTTCTTTCTTTCTTTCTTTCTTTCTTTCTTTCTTTCGTCGGGGTGAGGGATTAGTGGAGCATGATTTTTTTTAAATTCAGAGACAAATCTGATTTGTTTCCCGTTTTGCTAAGGCCGATTCAGTGCGGTTTCCTTCCAGGTGCGGCTGGGAGACCTGGTGTGGACTGCAGTCCTTATGCGCCTACCTGGAAGTAAATCCCGCTGAAATCCTGGCAGTGGCTTGCGAATCGTGGGCATTCCGGGGGCGCTCAGGTTTCCTCGGCCGCCGACACCCCGGAACTCCTCGCGCTCACCCCAAATTAAGTGTTTAGCACCCCAACTAGTTCCCAGGGGCTTCTTTCCCAGAGAAAGGCCTGCCCTTTCCCCTCCCGCTGAACAAGGTGGGACTTCTTTCTCGCTGAACGTACAGGATCAGGGCCGCCCGTCTCCTTGATCTCGGGGACGGTTGGGCTGCAGGAGGTCTACTTGGGAGCAACGCACGTTGAGTTTGCTCGTGCTGCGGGACGGGATATTCCGTCTGATCCGAGAACAGGTTCCCCAAGGTGTGCGAGGGGCTCCATGTCGATTACAGGCTGAAAGCTCCTTCGACAGGCGCCTTCCCGGGAGTAAACTCCCTTTGAATGGAGGGGCGCTTCTGAGTAGACACTCGCGGGATGAAGCGGTGCCTTTCTTTTTACAGCCACTTCGGTGGATTCTAATCTTATTTACCGTTGGTTTTAATGACCTTCACTCACAAAGGCGCCCGACAGTCTCCCAGCGCAACCCAGCCCAGTTAGCAGCCCCAGTTAGCAGCCCCTCCGCTGTCCTGCCGACCTGAACGGGGCTGACTCCCAGGTAGGTTATGTTGAACGCTCCTACCTGCCCTCGCAGGAACCTGGTGGCTCATATAAACCCGAAATCCTGGCTGTCCTAATGGTTCAACCTGGGGAGCGAACAGGGCAGTTCCTTCCCACAAATCAATCCCACTGAGTTCCATGGGATTTGCTCCCATGAAATGGCAGCTTCAGGTCTTCTGACCCATTTCAACATCCCCTCCAGCAGCGTACCTTGAAAAGATATTTGGCTCTGTAAATGTTATTGTGTGTGTGTGTGTGTACTTATACCTCCAATGGCAGGATTTCAGAGTTGTACAGTCTTAAAGGAGTTTATCAGGAACCCATTTTGAATGCCGTAGTATAGCTTGGAAAGTATATAAAAGGAATAAATCAGTATTTATTGACCATTCTTCTTAAATCCTCCCAGTGCTACTTTAGTTTTATTTTGGCTGAACCTATGTTAACCTCGGGGTTTCAAAGCTTTCTTTCCCTACCCACATTTCTCAACTGTTATTTGTGTATCTTTAAACACAGTCATGCACACAGAGTATGCAGTTATAGCTAACAATAGAAGAAAAAAATTAAAGCATAGTTTAAAAGATGCAAATACACACAACCCTACAGAATAGCACTTTTGAACATCGTCAGAGTCATGTCCAGCCAACTAACAGCAGCTTCGCTTTTAAAACAGTTCCCTAAAAAGAGAACCATACCAAATCAAATGCCATAAAATCATCAATTCATTTAAGGCATTTTTATTCTGCTGTTCAGGTGAAAAGGTTCCCAGAATAATGGAATAAAAATAGCAATAAAGACAAGACAATACCTACACGCACATTAACAAAAAAGGGGAAAGCAATGGGGAGGGGAAAGGGAAAAAAGCAGACTTGGTAGAGCAGTTCTTAAATTACATAAAATTAAAATCAAAACCTTAAAAACAGTTTTAAAAATTCTCAGTCACATTTAAAAATGCATAAAGAGCCAAGCAGAATAATACTGCCTGAATGTGGCCAGTTTAACTTCTTTAGGGGTGAAAAGTTGTCATGCATAGGACACTGTATTTTTAGAAATGTTTATTTAATCAACAACATGTTGGAATTGGGTTGGGTATATTTTCAAATATTATCAAACAATCTTGATAGTATAAAGACGTGGAACTTATGTTTTTAGGAGCTGTATATCTCTGCTCAAGGTTGATAATAGCCCTGCTTTGCAGGGAGATTCTCCAAAACTGTTTGTGTGGCCACTGTCAGGAGCAGAAAATGTACAGGATTCCAGGTAGTCTGTTGTCTGACACGAGAAAGCAGTTTTTATGTTTAAGTTAATCTGTCTTTTGTGTATCTGCCCAAACCTTGATGGCGTAGAAGATACCACACCACATAAACTTCCAGCACGTG